CTTTCAACATAGTTTTACTTCATCTCTCTGTCTGCAGAAGAGAGGTGCTCCAGCCCCCTGAGCATCTTCATGGCCTTCTCTGAACCTGCTGTAACAGGTCCATGTCTTTCCTGTGCCCTGGAGACTCCAGAAGTGGATTCAGCACTCCAAATGGGTCCCAGCAGAGCAGAGTAGGGGGGCAGAATCATCTCCCTTGACCTGTTGCCCACATTGCTTTTGATGCAGCTCAGGACAAAATTGGCTTTCTGGGCTGCAAGTGCACCTTGCTGGCTCATGTCCAGCCTCTCACCCACCAGCACTCCCAAGTCCTTACAGTCTAAGGCCTTACAGAAGTTCAGATACACAACTCCAATGCAGTCATTATTGCCCACAAATATTTTTACCAAAGAATTACTAAACCCCACTCCAACAGATATATTCAGAGATAATAAACCCACCTTTTACATACACTTATACAAAACTACATTACTGTATGTTTGTTAAAAATAATGTAATTTTAAAAAAAAATTAGGAAGTATATTTCATTATCGAAAATTATGAATATATAAATCTGCAAGACCTGCACTGAACATTCCCAGAAAAAATAAACATGAACCTGTACATACTGCTCTTTTGTTGAAGCTTTAAAAGACACATTACCTACAGGAAGTTGTTTTAAAGGGTTTTCCATATCATTCTCATTTTTCTGACAAATTCTCTTCCCTAGATGATGTGGTTCATAGCTGTTTTCAGCCTTCTAAAACTGGCTACTCTGAAAGTATATATTTGTATTTAAAGCCATGTGTTTGGTTTCTGGGCTTAGCTTTATATTGGTTTTGTGCCTATTGCCTAATGAGCATCCTGAGTATCTCTAATGTAGCTGGATATAAATAGCTATATTTTTAAATGGTATTAAACAATGTTGACATACCGTTCCTACTGTGCTGATATCACAAGAGTCATAGATGTCAAGAATAACTGAAGTCAGAAGGTACCTGTGGAAGACACATCTCAAGAAGTTGGAAAACTTCAAAGTGACCATACTGAAGATGCCTGTGAATCCGAACCAGCACAAACCTCCTGAAATTTTTTCAAAAGCACAAATTCTTCATTCTTTAGAAATACAGCTAAAATGAAAGATTTTTTCAGTAGCAGCTAGCAATGATCAAAGTTTAAGTAGAAGACACTTCCAAAAAAGTGAACTCACATTTCTGGTCCACAGAGAACTTTACTAAAAAATTACAAGGACAAATGTGGGATGCCCATGTACACATTCATGGAAAACCAATAATCAGAGGGAGAAATTCCTGATCCACATAGGAACATCTACCAAATATTTTTATCATAAGAAAGTGCCACAAACTCCAGAAATGGATTACTGAAATTGTTTGCATGCATGCAACAGATTCATGACAATTAAAAGGAAAAACACCTCAATGCTTTTCAACAACAAAACAAATGAGGGAGGTTAATACCTTCACCAAAAACAAAGCTCAAGAATTTAATGATTCAGAGAGTAAATTAAGATTTATTAATCAGAAAATGTTAATGCATTAGATGGAACTTGTCTCAACAATTCTTTTGATAAAAAGGAGCAGAAAACTCCCCACTTATGACCAGTGCTTCCAGAACTTGATGGGAGGGTAGAGGGGAGGAGAAGAAAAGCATGAGCACACATTCAATTCCCATCTCCTGTTACATAGGGGTAGAGGTATAAATTTAGGCCATCACAGAGATGCAGTAGGAAAGATTAGAGTTTTAAAAAGATGCTAAAGGTCAATCCATTCAAGAAATTTATGGAAAATTTGATAATACTGAGCTACCCCAACCAATCCCTCACACTCAGGTCAAATTTCAATTATTAAGAGACCTTTATGTCAGGGGAAAATAATTCCCACCATTGGTAGCATATGCCCTATCAACATAAATCACAAAAAATGGATATAGATGCATCCACCTGCACTTCTCAAGTCTGTAGCTAGAAATCTTTACCAGTACCATATTCTACTTCCAGGGCTTAAAGAATGTCCTTGATCCTTTTGCTTGACTGCATTAGATTTACTTGCCCACTGAACATTTGACCAAAGACTGTACGATTCTGTTCTTCTGCAGAATCTCTTACATATCTCTAATGGAATTTTGAAAGTTTTTATTCAGGTCCCTAAGTGAACTCTGTTTCAAAACAGAGACATTTAGCCTCCCTCACAATATAATATGCATAAAGCTTAACGACAAACTTTCTTGCTTTCTCTTCCCATTTGTCCCCAGGTCCTGCACAGTTTTAACTGAAGGAGGAATGGGAAAAGATGGATGTAGAAATTAATGCAGAGGTTTGGTATATATAACATTTAAATAACACGTAATAAAATCAAATGTAAAGAATAACTATTACAGATACAGACTCCTTTTTTTCTGATTTATGCTTACTGTTTTAAATAAAACCATTAGAAACACATTCCAGGAAATATACAGTATCAGCATGTGACACTGCCTTGATTATCACACTTGGATAAAGAGTACATGCTGCACTTTGCAGGGATTGTGAAGAGAGATAGATTAATTTTCTGTATTAAAAAAAAAAAGCATTGTTGGGGTTTTCTCATATGCCAAAATGCCTACCTGACAGACAGAGCAGGAATAGGGCTGCTATACCAATTTTCTTTGAGCACACCTTACACCAGACATGGGAAGTCCCACCCTTACTCTCTTAAAGGGATCATTTAATGGTGAAGTGGAAGTCTCCTGACTGCAGTACTTGCTTTCTCTCTAATGTCACCTGGTGATGGAATGTGCAGCCGGAGCAACAAGGGAGAACAAGAGGTACAGACTACGTGACCGACGTTTTGGGTAAGCGTCTGACAAGAGCCATCATGTTACTTAAGGGAAATACTGGTGGTGTCCTGTTATGAAAACCTACAAAGAGCTTCCAGCACAAATGTCAATTAGAAAGTCATACCTGCCACATTTGTGTCCATTTTTACTGCCATTTATAGTTAAATTTAATGACTGGCATCAAAGAAAGGAAATACACCCATCACAAATCTTCCAGCAGAGAAAGGCTGCATCAGAGAACAACAGCACATTCCCACTAGAATCGTAATTATAATAAAGGAAATACTCAGCACATCACCTATTTAAGTCTGAACATCCTTGATGTATAGCAAACAGCAACTGATCTAGCAATGCCCTGAAACGTGACATTGTAAGGTTTCCCTTTAAAACTGTTAGCTGAAATAAGAGATGCAAAAGATCCAGAGAAAATTTGCAGAGTTGCACAGTCCACTGCAGTCCAAACTTTAACACTAAATAACAGAGACAGCAGGAATATATGCAATTACTGCAGACAGTGCTTATCATCCCTTGCAGGGCAAGATGCAAAATTAACACATAACTTTGACTGGTTTGGACAGTTCAAAGCTAAAATCCAGTGCAGCTGCACGGCTCAGCCTAACTTTGGCTGCATAAGGCAAAAAGATTCTGAACAGCCCAAGTAAGTCAGGCTTTCACACCAGAGTGCAGGAGTAGGTCCTTAAACACATTAAAATGAAGATGCAGCTAGCTCTCTTGTGTGCCAGGAACTGCAACATCACAGTTTGTCAGTGAAAGCTTATCTTTGATGGGATTTTCCCACTTCATTAGTCTTACTTATATACGTCTTATCAAAACAAACAAATTCCTACAAGCAAATCTGACCCTGAGGAACATTGCTGGAAGTGTCCGTCCTGTTCAGCAGGGAGTGTTACAGTCTGCAGGTGAGCAGAGCTCCAGGCAAGGTCAAGGTTGGCTGCATTTTCTCAGACTGAAGGCTTCAGAAGTTTATTCTTAACATCCTAGCTGACAGCCAAAGGTGGATGCCAATGTCTGAAGCATTATGTTTCTTTATTGCAATAAAAAATAACATACTTGATTTTTGTTAGTCAAATATATCTTCTTATTGTAAAATACTGGATAATCGGTTAATTCATCAACTGGTGTTGATCAAGAGCTCAAGTCTGGTCTTTAAAAGTAGGACCTCTGTACTTTCGATACAGAAACTGGTTACTATTTTATTACTACTCCATGACAAAGTACAGAATATTCATAAAAAGTTCTTTAGTGAGGCGAAGAAAAATAAAATTCTATTTCAGCTTGACATGGATAGAGAACTGCATAGACACTGTTTTTTCCGCTGGAGTGATCTGCTGTAGGAGTTAGCTGTATGCTTTAAATGTGACTGACATGTCTCTGAATTTAATGTGTCACCTGCTGAGTTCAGGATCTGCTGTCTATCTCCCAATGTGTAAAAAAAATGAATCGCTTCAAAATGATTTATTGCCAGCAAAATAGAATGTGAAAACAACAATAGAAACAGTGCTGTAAAGGCATCCTACATTTAATAGCACTGTTTGATGAGTAAATTATTTCACAAATATAATCAAACATTCTTATTGTGAAACTCTCAGACTTGATAAAGCTATTGCACAGTCTGGTATCTGGCTTCCTGATTCATAAATAGCTAATACCAATAAGAATATAGAGAAATGTAGCATTAAATCCCAGGGTTCCACTGCAGTTTGTAAAACCATGCAGAAAATACATGTTTTATTTTTCAATACAAATCTGTGGAATTAATCTCTGCTTTTATCTTTTGTGCTTTTTCTTCCTCTCCTGTGAAGTATCTACAGAGGCATCTTTAATAAAGAATTTTCATTCTCTATTTTTTCTGCAAATGGGTGGCTTGCTTTATAAATCTCATCTGTGTACATGCTAGCAAAGGCTTCATATGCTGAAGTATTTTCAAAATATCATGGGTTATCACTGAAAAAATGTTAATATAATATAATATATAATATATATTATATAATGTAATTCTGTAGAATTATATTAATTTTTAATATTTTTAAGATTTTAACCTTAGGAATATTTATATAAATGTCAAAAGTTAGCAATAAATACTGGAAGTAAAAGCTCCACCTATTCAAGAAGTTAAAGTGCAGTATAATTCAGCATAAGGACTACATAAATAAAGTGTAAATGCTCACCTTCTTCAGAGTGCATCCATGTCATCCACACCAATGTTATTTGCCAGAGCCATTCCTAGAGCAAAACCAGAAGATATTCAAATAAAATACTGCCCTTTTTTCTTGTCAAGTATCTAACCAAAAGTAATACCAGTAAGGAAAACAAGTGCTACACATTTTTAGGTGTTCCTTGGCTGCTAACAAAAAACTAATTCATTGTTTGTTTTCCTGGGGTAAAATAACTCTTTGATCAGTAATTGTTGAATGAGTCGAGCTTATAGCCAGCATTGCCACTACATCCTCTACCTTGCCCTTCAAGTGCCTTCTGTCTCATATTTGGTATTGGAAACTCTAAGATCAGCAAAATGTGGTTGGGCCTATAAGAAATCCTGTGAGTTACATACCAAGAGAAATGAGAACAAAGTCCTGTTTGATTGCATTGCTTTTCTCTTCTGCAATTATCAGTGCTTGCTTTCCTCTTTCTTTTAGTAATTACTAATCATGAGGGACACAAGCACTTCCTCTGTGTAAGGCTCGTTTTGCCTGAAACGGTTTGTTGCTTTTAGGTTTTACAAGAAACTGAAGTAGTGAATATGAATGGCAGGTGGTAGCTTGCCAAGTCATGGCAGGCTATTTTCAACATTGACAACATCCAGCTTCTTACCGGCACTTAAAGGTACCCACTGCTTTTCAACATATATTTTTCCCTGTTTTGTGAACATTACCATACTATTCTACCTGCAGAGGAAATCTGACATTTTAATGACTATTAGTTACAGAAACAAGACTGGAAAAGGAGGAGAGAAGACCTTCTCTCTTTTTTTAAATGAGCGCAGAAGTTAAGAGGGAGCCAGCTGTTTGTTTCTGATATTCATGAAGCTAACAACCCCTGTGGATAAATAGATATTGCTTAAGCCCTCAGTATTATTAGGGCTTCAAAGTGCATTTTTAATCACTTTGTGATGCATGGCACAAAGTTTACTCTATAAGCCTTCAAATACAGGCAATCTTGGAAAGAAAAATGCGAACAAACCCAGAATAACAGACCCGTGAAGTGCTTTGGCAATAGTTTTGCATAAGGTTAATTACAAACTTGACCACTCAGCGTTGAACTCAAAGTTAAAGTTATTTTGCTGGACCTTAGATAGTACTCTATAGTACCTGAGAAGGCTGCCCAGTCACAGACTGTTCTTAACCACGAGAGGGACATTCCATAGCAGAGGTATGTGCTTCGAGGTACAAGGTACATGTGGATTTACAACCACATTTGTACATGACACAGAAAGGATGTCTTCAGCACAAACAAGGACAAGTATTGGACAACATGATTCTGATGTCCATGAGATTTCAAAGTTAACTTCAGGAGCAAGCTGTTCATAGCTTTACTGGTATGGATTTTCCTTTCACTTTTATACCTTGAAGGAAAAAGGCTGTTCCTGGTCTCCTCCTGTTTGATAGTGTGAAGGAATTCCTTATCAGAGTGACAATTTAATAACATTTGTGATTCTGAAACTATTCTCTTAAAGGTACAAAGAAGTCTATTGTCATGTTTGATCAAACATGAAACAAACTCATTTGATTTATGACTATTATTCTTTTCCTTTTATTATGTCTAGTTCACCAGGTTGCTCTGAAAATAAAGAGTAGCGATCCCTGCAATCTGGTTTGAATGTGTGACTTGTTATTGCTCAATCCATTTTCCCTTCCCACTTGAGAACTACAAATAAGAAAGGGTACAGTTTGGAATTTGAGCCTTTCTGTCTCCTGCACTCAGCTTCAGCTGCTAGTAATGTAGGCATGATTCTCAGCAAAATCCTAAGCTTAATATTCAAAGGTAAATTTCACACAGAAAACCCAGGAAAGGCGAAGTTTGGGACTGAATTTCACCTTGTCTCATTAAAAAGGAGAGGGACTGGAAAAAGCACAGAAGATTTATTTCCAAACACTAATTATAATACACATGGTATTATACTTGTACTAAAACCAAGCAAAAACCAGAAGTGGCTTGGATCTCCAGTGAGCACTCCAGCACTGCATGCACACAGCAGCATTAGCTATCCCATGCATAGGTAGCGTGGGATAACTAGCTCCATCACTGCAGAGATACAGCAAAATGACTGACAGTAGGATCTGTGTGACATTGGTTAGTGGCAGTGTCCGTAGACATCATTGTTAAGTGACACGAAGTATGTACAGACAGCTCTCTGCAACACTGTTGTACTAAGTATAGCTCTCTGCAACATTATTGCACTAGAACAGTACTTTTATAGCTGAGCTGCTTTCTCAAATGTAGGAATCACAGATTAAACACAGAATTTGAGAACAGGTTTTTACCTGAAAAGTAAAGTTTTTCTTTTTCCAGTTCCTTTTTCCCTATCCTGTTCTATGGGTAGAACTCTAGAGCTCATGGCTACAATTAAGTTCTTCACAGTAATTGCAGTTTTTCCATTTCCCTTCTTTGCTGCATTGTATCTGGCTCTGAAGTCAAAAGCTTTCATTTGGCTCTATTGTTTTTTAATCACTTCAACAAAAAGGAAATTAAAAAAAAATCAAATTAGATCTGCATTGCCCTCAGAGGAGACTTTGATGGTCTGGACAGATGAGTCTTTTTCGTACCACCAGGAGTGGACAGCATGCTATACCACAAGTATCAAAGCACTGCGGTTTCAAAGGTCTGAAGTAACTTCAGTGTTTGTTTTAGCTTCCATCACTAACCAGGTTGCATAATTAGCACAATTTTAGCTTATGGAAATCTTGAAAACCAAATGAATGGCATAAGAAATCACCAATAATATATTTTATGGTTTTCGATAATTAGCAGTAGAGAGAAGTCCTAAATAAATGTGTCATTACATGTGTGTTTATCAACATTAATCTTAGAAAAAAATGTAATGTCCAAGTCAGATACAATTTTCTTACCAGATCTCTAACATAAAGTGATATTATATAATAAAGAAATTAATTCTGTACAGTTAGTTAGGAATAACCTTTGTTAGATGTAAAAATGCAAAGATATATAGAAACAGGGGGACAGGTAGAGACCCATCACCTCATCCATCTATTGCTGCGTAAGCAGATAGGTAGGTGTACTCCAAAGTAGAAATAACAGTCTCTAGAGCAGAACAGTCAGATTCTGGGATTACAATCAGATATACGATGAGGGACAGAAAATTTTGTCTCCTAATACTCAGAAATAATTAGTTACATGTTTTCAAGGCATACAAGTAAATAAATGGGTTTCCCAGCTGTGCTTTGTAGAAACACTCCCAGCTTAATTGTTAATGCATTTTTGAGAACACAAAGATTAAAGGAACATAAAATTACCTCTTGCACCTCCCTGCCAGCATGCTCAACCCTGATGTCTGTCCCACCTTCCGAGTCAGGGGAAGCCATTTCAGCTCAGTGTGTCAGCACAGCTCCCTAAGCAGGGGTGAGCCTGCAGCTGGGGGCACACCATGCCTGCTTCAGCCGGGGGGAATCCCGTGGTACCCGAGAGGCCAGCAGTGCAGTCCTGGAGATGGTGGTCAAGTCCAACCAAGAGTCCAGATCATCAGGCAGTATGATGGTGACAAGGCAGGGCTGCAGTCGAAATAAACAGCCAGCGCACAGGATGAGCCCTCTCTCAAGGGGCGCACCAGCACCAATAGAGCACAGCTCAGCAAAGGAACAACAGCCCCAGGCTGAGCTTAAGGAAAGCTCAGGGGGCTGTGAATGTGGGGAGGTCCAGGTGAGGCTGAGCAGGGTCAATAAAGCTTGTTAGTGCACTCAGTGCTGCACTGGGTAGAAAACCTTGATGCCTTTTGAGTACTGGTCTTACCAGTCACACTGACACAAAGTATGACACAGTGTCATTTCATGTGCTATATTACTGGGGGCAGGCCTAACATAAACTATATAATATGTTACTCCTTTTCTAAAAAGGACTTTTTTTTCTGCAGAAAGGGAATAAGAAGAAGTGTACAGAGTTAATTTTTGCCATGGTGACTCCATATAACGTGTAGGTGGTATTTTGGCAAAGGAAAACATGTTTTGTTAGAGACTCAAAATACAGCACACTGTTACATCTACCCACTCAACAATGGAGGCTAGAGATGGAAAAATGTATTAACAGTATTATTCCACATTTGGATATAAAATCATGGAGACAGTAAGTCATAATACATTTCATACAGATCTATAAGGTAATTTTGTGTATTATTACTACATAATATTATTAGAGAAGCCCTAAAACTTGAATAAAAAATAATTTCTCTTTCAGTTTTAGGCATGTTAACCATTCACACTAACGTAGTTATTTTCAACTATTTTTGCAAGGAGGATCAAGAAATCTCCTGTGTTTTTTTACAAAAGTATGTTACATTAATGCTGTATCATTTTAATACTCTTTCAAATTAATATGAAATTAAACACATGAAACCAACACATTGAAAAATTTGTGAGACATTGATCAATAGATGGAAATAACAGTAGTGCTTCAACATGATATGGTTTTATATTTAGTTTAATAGGCATAAGATTTCTAATAAATGTTATGAAGTTTAATCATTATAACTACGGCAGATGCTGGATTGGACAGGCAATGGTTGGTTTGAATGTACTGTCATGTTAGACACACTTGCCAATATTGAACAGACTGTGACTACTATCTGTACATTTCTCTCTCTCTAGGGCATTTTTAAGAATTTTTTAATTAGCTTTTGTTTCCAAACAGTGCTTTCATTTTCCTTGATAAAACTTCTGTCTTTCCAGGGTTCTATTTAACACAGATTAGGTTTCACATTTCCTTTAGTCATTGCAATAGGAATAGGAAGCTTTTAATAATATATGAAAACTAGCAATGACAAGTATTTTGCAGTTTTTTCAAATTTGGTTAAGAATAAAATAGTTTAATGGTTACTTTGTTTTATTGTTTTAATTCTGGCACTATCTTACTGAAACAATGTTTCCCATTAGAAAATTCAAATAATAGAAGTCTGTGAAAAAAGAATGAGAGGTTGAGTCACCATGACAGGAAGTGTGCTCCGTAACATAGGCGCTAATCTTAACCCTAGTTACTCTACATTTCATGGTCAAAGA